GGTGTTTCTGTTGCCATGGAAAAGGGAGTTTTACCAGCTCACTCCTGGACAGACTGGTTTGGATGCTACGCTGTCCCATGCTGAGTTAGACCTTCAGCATGTTGGTAAAGTAGGTGGGGAGACTTGAGAGTACACACTCCTCACACACCAGATATACACATGTGTGCACACGTGTACCTTTGATGCAACAGACAGGCTGATCCCTGCTACAGGATCCTTAGTCCCATAACTCCTTTGGCCTGGAACGTTTACTGCTCTGTACTTGGTAGGCTGCACCCAGCACCCACAGCAGGTGGTTCACAACCACCTGTAACTTTACCTCTGGGGACACAATGACTTTGGCTTCCATGGACACTACTGTCATGGGTACATATATACACACATGCACACACACACACACACACACACACACAAACACACATACACACACACACACACACACACAGCGAGAGAGAGAGAGAGAGAGAGAAAGAGAGAAAGAGAGAGAGAGAGAGAAAATCCTTTCAACTCTCAGGTAAAACCTTGAAGATATATTAATAGGTCAGGCACCGTGGCACATGACTTTAGTCCCAGCACCTCAGGGGCAGAGGCAGCAGGACTTCTGTGAGTTCAAGGGCAGCCTAATCTAGTAAGATCCAGGGCAGCTAGGACTACATAAAGATCCTTTCTCAAAAAACAAACAATAAAGATGTATCAAAGACCACAACTACCTTCCACAAACCCAGAAGCTAAACATATCGCCAGATGTCACTAGAAACCTACAGGAGTGTTCTCCACTGCCCTGTGTCGGTCTGGGTGTCCTACCAACATATTCAGAAGGCACCTTGATTTCTGCTTTTCTCTTGTTCCATGACCACACAAGTTCTTGTAACCTTTTGCACGCTGGAGCGTACCATTTAGGGTGATGTGACTCCATGTTCCCAGAATGCAGTCATTTATATTTGGCTCAAAACCAGTTATCTTACTCTCAGGGGTAAGAGCTGTGGTTGGCATCAACACACCCATCTCTTAAAGGTGTGTAGGTTTAGAAACCCGAGGCCGGGAGATGAAGGCTTAATCCAGAAACTAAACCGTTCTTCATCCCTGATACCTTGTTGTTCATAGAGTGACCTGTAGTTGGGCAGCACCCCAAGAAGCAGTGCCCGCGAGAGCTCCGGGATGCTGTAATCACCCTGCCCTTTGTGCTGGCCACCCTGCTGGTACCCGCACAACAGTCCTGTTTGCAGCCCTCCTCCAGCTCTCCTCTTCCCAGGGGGGCAAGCAGCATGAGCAGCAGCAGCAGTGGCGGCATCTCCATGCTGCGGGCTGAGTGGCAGCCTGGCCGTTCAGGAGTTGCCCAGAGCCTCCTGGTGGCCTGAGACCGGAAGCCACGCTCCCATGTCCATCCCCACCTCTGCCACCGTCCTTCCCATCTCTCTATCACACATTCATTTATTAGAGTGGTGTTGCAGTCTGTGTGCGTCACACGGCATATTATTTTGCCCAAACAGCTTTACATAGAAATACTTACTGCAACAACTCGTTGATCTGGTTCAAGGTTTTTGAAGCACCGTAAACCCTGGAATATCCTTGAGACTCATCTCGGATATCCTGTTGTTGCCCAGAGTCAGGGTGACCGTGCATGCGCTGGGCCGCTCACCCAGGGGCAGGATCCGAGTGAGCCCCTGCCGGGCTCCTGAGGAACTCGCTAATTCCATTTGGAAGGCAGGGTCCTTTTATGCCACCGTACTTGCAGCCCTTGGGCAGCACCAGGGTCCCACACTCTTCTTCCCCAACCAGGAGGGCAGCACCTGATCCACGCTGAGGGCGGGGCTTGCAGGCTGAGCCGCCCTACTGGCCTAGAGGGCAACTGGGCGAGGTGAGCAGGTGGTGGTCCAGGACTCCCAGCAGCCCGAGGACTGGCCCTACTCGTCAACCCCATGCTTCTTTGTTTGCTGAGGTGTTCCCATACATACCACCTTGAGACTCCAGTTCTGATTCTCTCTGACACCAGCGCTCTCTCTGCCATCTTTTTTCCCCCTCCAATTCTATGCATCACCCTTTAAAAGCATCTTCCCATGAGACCTGACTTTTTAAGTTGTCCCAGACATTCTGTGTGCTTTCAGTCTCATCTTCCACTGCCGAGTCTCCCCTTGAAGCCTCCATGCATCTCTCAGGCTCTTCGGAGTGACCCCACAGCCTCATGGTTTATTTGTTTGCTTGCTTTTTGTTTTTGTTTTTTAAATGGCAGCATAGCAAATAAAGATCAGAGTTACAGATTAAAACTCAGGTCTGTCAGAGTTCAAAACCCATGGCATTAACTACGATGCCCTACAGCAACAGGAGACTCCAGCCATTCAGGCTGGCATTCTGTACGGAAGATTCTCTTTAAACCTGTAGTTACAAAACAGAAAGGTATCACCGGGCGGTAGTGGTACGTGTTTTTAATCCCAGAACTCAGGAAGCAGAGACGGGTGTATCTCTTGAGTTCAAGGCCAGGCTAATCTACAGAGTGAGTTCCCAGACAGCCAGGGCTACACAGAGACAGACAGACAGTCTTGGGGGAAAATGGTATCAGTAAGGAAAATTCAAGGTCAAAGCCTTCTTTCTTGTTGTGTCCACTGTGCATTCTCACCCTCATGACTTCGCATCAGTGTCTCTCTGTTTTACATTGTTACAACACAATCCCTGAGGCTGGAGATCTTACAAAGAGGTTTATTTGACTTACGATTCCAGTGGCTGAGAATCCTCACAGGTACCTACATCCTGGCAAAGGCCTTGTGCCGGCTCCCTTCATGGAGAAGCAGAAAGGAATCAACAGAAGCACACGGGGCTACTGGATGGCTCGGCTTTGCTTGGACACAACCCACTGAAGCCTGTTACACCAGGAGGTCAGCGCTGATTTATTTGGAGGGCAGGGGCTCACGACCTATCTTGTATTAGGCCCCACCCCTTACAGCTTCCATTGCCCCAGTGCCACCACCCGCCTGGGGACCAAGCTTCCAGTGCACGAACCTGGAGGGACGTACACTAAACTGTATACAATCCACAGCTTTCCTTCAGGATACATGGAGTTTCTGTGCCATGGCCAGAGCCTGGGTATTCTGTGTAATGTGGTTTAATCTCACAACTTTGCCCTTGAGCAGGGTATACTCAGGACAGGCCTTATGGTTGGGGTGAAGTGCTTTAGTATTTCGGCCTCAGTTTTGCAGACACAAGAGAGCTGAGTGAGGAAACTCAAAGTCTCTGGGAAGGTAGGGAAGTCACAAGGAGCTGATCGGAAATGCTCTCTAGGCCACTGCCCCTCCAAGGCTGAGGCCATCTTCCCAGCTGGCTCCCTGCAGGCTCCTATCTGCAAGCTCTTTAGGCAGCAGCCCTAGCTAACAACCAAGTTCAGGCCAGCCATTGGCGGAACCCTTCAGTAGCTCCTGGGTCTTCTGGGGAGAAAGGCCAAATTACCCTGTGTATAGGTCCCTCCCAGACACCCAGCCTTGGCTCTCAACATCTCGCTCAGTCCCAAATGCTGTGTTTCTTGTAGCCTCCCCACCCCCACAGGACCCACAACCTTCCAAGAAGCTCCAGGGCTCTGCTCTTGCCACCTTCTGAGACTAAGCACCCCTACGCCTCTACACCTCGCTCTGTCTGACTTCAGCAAACTTACCTCAGGGGTCACTGTTGATTTCAGTGTATCTTATATCAGGCCTCACTATTGCTGTGCTGGGCTTTTCTCACAGGCTCCTCAGCCCTACCTCAGAGTTATGGGGTCACAGCAATTATGACAATGCATGGGTCTTCCGGGCTGCATTACCACACTGAGACCATGGGCCAGGCTTCCTTCCTCTTTGCAATCTCTGCACCCTTTGTGAGCAGGGACTCAGTAAAGATCCATAGTATGAAGGAAGGAAGGAAGGAAGGAAAGTCAGGGGCAGTGCCAGCAAGTACTCTGTGACCCCATTTTGTAAACATCAGTTCTGTCAAATGACTTAGTATTGGGAAACCTGAACAAAGAGTGATATTCAGACACTCTAGAAAATGTAGCGTACATAATAATAAATGAAGGCACCATGTGTCACTGATCTAAGCTGTGCCCTCTCAAAGCTGCTCCATTAGAAGGGATCCAAGGAATTAAAATTGGCAACTGCAAAGAAAGCATTAATCTTTTAGCTTGAAGAGAGACATCTCTAAGATGGAGAGGCTACACCTTAGTCTCTTTTCCTTTTGGCCAGACTGAGATGGCTCAAACATAGATCAAGAAGGAATGTTAGTTCACGGGACAGGCCACATCTTCACAGCTGCTGATGTGTGTGGGGCTATGCCCCACGAGGTGAGGGAGAAGATTGCTCATGCACAAGAAAAAGCTAGGTTGGTTAGTGGAGCGGCTGTGGAAACTCAGGCTGACCCCTAACACCCAGCACTGGGGACAGAGGACTCTGGGCTCATCAGCTTCTATGCTAGTAGGCATGAGATGGAAGACTACACAATGTCTTCAGAAACATCTAGCATGCTCAATAATGCCTTCAGGACCAGTGGGTTCGGCTGGGACTCAGCAAAGCCCAGAGCACTGTCCTGCAGGACACGCTGCCAGCACATACAAAAGTACAGGTGTACCATGTCTCCTACATACCCGGAAAATATCAGGAAAGGTGTAAATTGTTGGCAGTGTTCACAGAAGAGGGGCAGGGAACTGAACCCCGTGGGTCACACCCTTCCCTTACTAGGAATACACTGGCTATTGTGGAAATGGTCCCAGGCAATTCTGGATCCCCCTCAGGGCTGCAGACATTTTGACAGCTTCATGCAGCACCAAGTTGTCAGCAGCTCCACACTAGACTCTGGAGACAGACTGACAACCAGCTGGAACCTGTCTCGGCATGCAGTGCACACTGGCATGGGACCCAACCCAGACTCTCAGGAAGAAGGTCTCCAGAACCCTGCTGGAGGCATGTGCAGTGGGGTACCAGTTTCTGGAAAGTTCTGACCTTTAATTCTAACCTATGGAGGCATGTACAGTGGGGCACCAGTTTCCGGAAGGTTCCGACTCCTTTAATACTGGCCTAGGGGAGGCAGAAACACTTGGACCTGTTCTGCATGTGCCTGTGTCTGAATATGTCCCAGATAATACAAGAGAAGCATGGCCATGGGATTTGAGAGGAGGGACCCGGCCTTGCTGTGTGAGGCCCTGGGTGCTGGGCTTCAGGCAGGACCTCGATGCCGCTTTGTTGCCGTGTCTTTCTTTCTGGTTATCCGGGGCTGCTTTGGCCTGCTTCCTTGTCCTCGGCCGGGAGCTTTCTGCGCAGGGTGCACCTGAGACGTGCTTCGATTGAGTTGGAAGTTGACCTGCAATGGCAAGGCAGAAGCTAAGCGCCTGTTTGGACTTTCCTGAATTACACCAGGTTCTCGTTGCAGGTACTACAGACTTGGCAAGTATTTCCCAAAAGAGTGGTACAGAATCAATCACTGATGACACGAAGTCTGTGGCTGCATGGACTGAATATTAGCAAAAAATCCTATCTATACCTCCAATCACATTTTTGCTTATGTCCTGCTTAGGACAGGAGTGATGAGTGAATCGGTCTTAATCTCTATTTCCCTCCCAGTGGCTGTGTGAGTCATGGGTACCAGGCCAGTACATGCCGATGAATGTCTCAACCTTCTGCTGCATTGCTTGGCAACAGGGATAGAAGAAGTGACAGATTGCCTGGCTAGATTCTTTTTCTTTCAGAGATAGTGTCTCACTATGTAGTCCCAGCTACTTAGAACTTGTTTTGTAGACCAGGCTGGCCTTGAACTCACAGAAATCCACCTACCTCTGTCTCCAGAGTGCTAGGATTAAAGGTGTGTGCTACCACATCCTCCTGGATTCTTAAGCCCAAGATGTTGTGATGTTGTAATCTAAGGGATGTATACCACTGTCCTCTAACCATGGAACACTAATGGAAAGACACTATGGACTGGGTGTGGGACACGGGTGTGGGGAGTGGGTGTGGCTATAGAGCCATCACAGGCAGCAGAAGAGGAGGGAGTGACACCAAGTCTTAACTACACTCCCCTGGGGCTTCCCTGGCAGTCCCTTCCTGTAATAGTTTGAACTACTGAAACAGCAGTGAGTTAAAAACACGCCCCGAGTTTCCTGCCTCTTCCATAAAAATCCACAGCCAGATTTTCTGATAGTTCTGTAAAAGGGGAGGGAAGTCAGGGCCAACTGTATGAGACCACTTCCTACTTTCCATTTCGTGAATACATAAACCCAGGAAAGGAAGAGAAGAGAGGAGACAGGCAACAAGAGGAGGAATGAGCAGAGGAGAGGCTCTAACATCTGCAGGGATGTGGGGACAGCAGATCTGGGCCCTGGGAGAGATTTCCATCCCTTTAATTGTAAGATGAAAACCCTTTAGTAAACATCTTTTTTCTTTCCTCAGGAAAGTAGCTAACTGCTCTAAAATTAAAATGGAAACCATGTAGACCATGGTGCAATCAATAAACAGACTGGTAGCTGCTATTGTCACTGAATATTACATCCAAATGACAGACTGTGCCTCTAGGTTATACTTGACACAATGAATGGTATGCTAGTTTATTTAAAGGATATGGCAGTGGCGGGGGGAGTGAACAACTCAAGGGCCTGTGGAGCTGTTTACATTTGGCGTGCACAGGGCTGCCTACGGGCATGGTCTATGTATGTGGCTGCTGCTGGCATTTGATTTTAGGGTAGAATAGGGAAGAAAGGGGATGAGCTGGCTGGGACACAGGGTTCTGCGTGATGGAGCACTGTCTTCTCTTCCCCTGGATGTCAGTATAAAGCACAAGCCATGCAAGTGTGAAGACCCGAGTCTGAATCCCCACAAGCCACTTAAAGCCAGACACCCAGTGACCCTGCAGTGAGACCGGAGGCAGAGATGGAGCATCCCTGGCGCTCTCAGGCTAGCTAGCCTGGAACACACACAGTGTGCAGCACACAACAAAGACACACTGCCTCAATGGATGGCAGGCAAGGACTGACACATGAAATCACCCTTGGATCGCTATACAGGTGCCATGGCAGGCCCACGCCCTATCCTCCCAACACATGCTCACACATACCACGTGCATCACACACACAGAAGACAAAGAGAGACAATACGTAGGAGGTGTTGCAGCGCTCTTTGGTCTGCTGGCTTACAGGGTTCTGCGCATAGGCAGGAAGCATAGTGCCAGCCCCTGAGACAGGTTAGGAGGTGAATCCCACCCCCACCATCCACCCACTGTGTGATACTGCACAGTTACTTACAGGCAGTTGTGAAGGCTAAAATGGGTAATTCTGGGATGCTCTCACACAGTATCAGATGCCCAGCAGTTACTCAAAAGGCACTGAGTACTGTATTCAAAACATTTTAAAAAATATGAGCTGTTTGAGTGCATGGAGGGCTGACGTCCATGGCCTCTTTACGCTCTGAGGTTCTGATGTGATTCAATGGTTCTTTGCTTCTCATCCTATCTATAAAGGAGAGCTGTGGAAAGGTGAGCATTGGAGGTGACTGGTCCTTAGTAGCAAGCAAAGGGAAAGTGAGCCTGTGACCACCGGGCACAGAAAGCTTGCAGAGCACCACCCAGTGGTGGTTCCCGTTCATGGCCTTGAAGAATGCAACCAGGGCTGCCTGGGGATCTGCAGGGCTCCAAGGCTTACTGACCAGCCTTGTGCACATCTATGGTCCTGTGCTTTGTCTTTGCAATGCTTGAGAAGGAAGTGTTTGCACTAATTTACAGAGGAAGAAGTAAGATTAGAGAGACAGGCTGTGTCAAAGAGACAAATCGGGAAAAGTCAAGGGGAAGCCAGCAACAGGGCTGTTTAAGACGCTGTGTGACATTTACAGAGCAGGTTACAGCTCAGCCAGACTCACCAGTGCTGGTCCCGCAGGCCCCACTGTCACAGTCACTGTTTTGGGGTCATACCCTGGTGCCTTGGCAGTGACAATGTAAGTACCCGGAAGCAGCAGACGGAAGTAATCCCCATGTTCACCTAAAAGTCAGAAGGATGTAACTCAGCCAGCTGACTTCAAACCTACTTTAGACAAAACCTGGCGATGACAACAATCCGGGGGTTTGAGCTGACCAGAGCTTGGCTTTGTTGTTGTTGTTGTTGTTTGTTTGTTTTCTCAAAGTATAATGAAATCTGTAAACAGCTAAACCGTTCAGAAGAACATTCCTTGGCAGGAGTCACTCATGGGAAGTGCTCTACCTCACACTACAGTCCGTTCTAGATCCTGAGTCTAATACAGACACATGCCCACTAACAAGTTGCTAGGAAAGAGAAAAGGGGAAATGTCTGTTAATAGTTTGCCTGATAAAAAAAAACTTTGAGCCCTCTGACATTTGGAAAGCCACTGTGAAGAAACAACTTCTGTTTGAAGAAATTATATGACGGCAGATGTCACTAAAGAGAAGCAGAAAATACTGTGGTAAAGAGCTGCCAAAGAAAGAAATGGACTGTGGTACAGAGTCATGGACACTCGAGCAGCTGCATAGAGGTCCTGGAAATGCTGCATAGCTGAGCAGTGCACACTCTACACTAACAATCCTGGTATCCAGGTGGGACAACCAACACCCAGGATTGTCACACGAGAGAGTTAGACTAAATGATCACTAAGAGTCTGGCTTGAGAATCTTGCTTTTCTCTTTTCCCCTGATTCCCACATCCTCTCTGTGTTGAGAAAACAGGGTTTCACGTGACCCAAGCTAGTGTCAAAGTCACTAGGAAGTCTGGCCTCAAATTCATGATCTTCCTCCCTCAACTTCCTAAGTGTTGGCATTACAGGGGTGTGCCACTATGCTGGCCAGAGAATATTATTTTAAATATATTTTTAAAAAGACAGGGTCTTACAAAGACTATTTTGAAAATAAAGTTTCCTTCTAACTTTAAAAAACAAACAAACAAACAAACAAACAAACAAAAAACACAGGGTCTTACATAGCCCCAAACTAGTTTTGTTGCTCGAGTATGGCCTCAAATGTATGCTCTTTCTGCCTTGACTTCCCCAGTTTAGGGATTACAGGTATGCATTACCATGCCTAACGTGGGTCTCATGCATTCCAGCCTGGTCTTAACTTTATGATGTAGCCAAAGATGACCTTGAGTGCCCTGAATGCTAGGGTTACAGGTGTGTGGCCCGACACCTAGCTCCTTTAGTGCTTCAATAGAACCCAGAGTTTCTTGAGTGTTAGGCAAATACTTTACCAAGCTACACCCCAGCCCTATAATTTGCTTTAAAATACTTTAGCAATGTAGTGTATTATTATGCACATATTTGACAGTTTAGGTTATATCCAGAAACTGTTATTATCTTGATTGGGGGTACACACTCAGAATTGTTACAAAAGCTCCATTCCGGATGCTTCTTCAAAGAGGCTGTCTCTACCCGTAACTAACGTCAGGTGCTCTGCCAAGTATCACATCACTCTCACTAGTGAGAGGCATGACTTCCATTTCACATAATGGATACTAAAAACAGGGCCTCTTTCTGGTATCTGTTCTTAGGGGCTCTGCTGTTTTAAAGACCTTCCCACTCTTGCTTCCATGGGTGAGAACCAGCAGCTCATGCTCTTGGGCAAGGGGCTGAGGTCTGAGTTCTACACAGTCCTGTGTGTAGCCAATGGGCTAGAAGATTCCTGTGCTCAACCAGATTGAGGTGACAGAATTCTTTTAGGACATTGCCTTTTCCTTAAACGAGCCTGCCACTGAAGAGGCTCTGAGACCACCTTCAAGGACATGAAGCACAGATTTCATCCAGCTTGGACAGGCAGCATGAACTGTGGGATGCCTGCTTGGTAGCCAACAAGGTTGTTTTGGGAGGTGGGTAGCTATAGACATCCACGAAAAACATATAGAAACTCCCACGAGTGGTGACTCAGCTGGGGCACTATGCAATACTATTTTTCCATGACATGATTCTATGCCTGTTGGCATCCGTTGTCCCTTGACAGAATCTAGAATCAACTAGGATGAGCTTCTGGGCATGCCTGTGAAGAATTATCTTGACTGTGTTAACTGAGATGAGACTGCTCACCCACTGTGGGTGGCACCGTTCCCTGGCTGGGATCCTGGGCTATTCTAGTGAAGAAAGAGAGCTGAGTCCTCGAGTGTACACACTCATCAGTCTGTCTCCCGATGATGGATGTGAGTTGGTCAGATGCTTCAAGCTCCTGCCACCTTGACCCCCTAACTATGATGGACTAGACCCTGGAAGTGTGAGCCAGAACAAGCCCTTTCTCTCTTTAAGTTGCTTTTTTCAGAATACTTTATCATAGCAACAGCAAAAGAAACCAAGGCAGTACCCTTCCAGCAGGTCCTAGGTAATCCCAAGATTATCCCCCACTCTAGGTTATCCCAGGATTATCCTCCACTGCTGACCTTGCCTCAGATCAAGACTATCAACCAGCAATCGGTCAGCTTTTCCTGAATGGACATGTGGGAAATGCCTGAGCTGGAAGGGAGACTAAACATGAGTATTACCGCTCTTCTCGGCCCTATTCCATGCCATCGTTATTAATTAATAACGTCAAGCCCAGAAAGACTCCCAATAAGATTATCTCCACAGTATTTCCCGGGCTCTGACTAGAAGCTTCGTTTGCATCAATGCTCCCGGCTCTCAGAACCTGCTCACTCCAGAAGTGAGAGAATTTCCTCGTCGTGGGCTGCTTGATACAGCGCATCCTTTTTGCTCCAAATCCTCACCCTTCCTCCCTTCAGTGCCTCACCTCCAGTGCCCTTGACGGCTGAGACAAGGAGCAGAAACTCCCTTCCTGCCTACCTGAAGTGACATCGTGATTGATCCCACTGACGGAAATGACAGCCCCTGTGAGGTTGTTAGAGTTCTCATCAAGCACCATTCCCTTGATGCCCTGGTGAACCTGCAGGAGACAGTGGCCAACAGCGAGTTAGAATCACAGAACAGCGGTGAAGTCGAGAGGCTCTGGTTCTTCTCACGGGTCCTCACAGTCCACCTTCATTAACACCATGGCAGAGCCTGTAAAACTGTGCTTCGCTGCTCTTCCCACCCCATAACCCCTTCCCAGTAGATGGAGTGACCCTGCTAGACTCTCTCAGTCACATCATAATGTCTTTCTCCCCAAAGCCTAACTCAGCAAGGCCTTAGGCTCCCATGCAGTCCCCATCAGCAGCTCTACCCTCTGCCTTGTTCCTCAGATCTGTTTCCATTCCGGTCATGCTGCTATTCTAATCTGTTAAGCAATTTTATTAATTTTATGTGTTTGGGTGTTTTGCCTGCATGTGTGTCTGCGTACCATGTGCATGCCTGGGCCCCGAAGAGGGCCTCAGATTCCCAGGGACTAGACTCAGCAATGACTGTGAGCCACCATGAGGATGCTGGAAATCAAACCAAGGTCCTCTGAAAGAGCAGCCAGTGCTCTCAACTGCTGAGCCATCTCTCCAGTTCCTGATGGCCTAATCTTGAATTTTGCTTAAATTAAAAGAACTTTAAATTGTGATTAAGGCTGTTGAGATGGACTAGTGGATAAAGGCATTTGCTGCCAAGCCTGACAACCTGAGTCTGATCCCAGCACCCAAATGTGAAAGGAGAGTCCCTCCCACAAGCTGTCTTCTGATTTCCAACACCATGGCATGGAGACACACACACACACACACACATACACACACACACACACACACACACACACACACTTACTTACTTACTTAAACATAAATTGTGATAAAATACTCAGTTTATCAAATACATTTGTAATGTGTGCATAGCATAACAACTCATTTCTAGAATTCTCTTCATCTGATGCCACTGAAACTGCTCTCCTTAAATAGTAACTCTCCATCAATCACTTCTGGGTTTTGAAAACCCACCAATCTCTGGGCTTGCCCCAAGCTCAGTCTGGAAAACTCCACCCCCAAGAAACCCTATATAAGTCTGCCTTTCGCTCAGTTCCCTTCTCACCTGAGCAGAGGGAGCCACTCTCTTGAATCTGCCCCAATAAATCTTTTTGTAAGATGTGACTTCGTAGAATTCCTTGGCCCCAACTGCCAGGATACCTTTCCCCTCAGAGCTGCAACACTTGCACTGGGGAAGCCTTTCCCCTCAGAGCTGCAACACTTAGACTCCCCACTCTCTACCCCACCCCCCACTCTTGCAACCCCAGTCATCATTCTGCATTCTGTCTCTACAATGTTAAGCACTGTATCTAAACAAATAGAGACACAAAATATACATCTGTTTGTAGCTGGCTTATTTCACTTAGCATAATGTCCTCAAAGTCCATGCATGAAGGTATGTGTCAGAGCTTACTTTGTTTTGAAGGCTGAATAATATTCCTTCTTTCCTTCCTGTCTGACTATCTGATTCCACTTCTTTGGGATATAACAGTGCTGAATAACACGATAATTTTCTTTTCATTGCTGTTTCCTTTGTGGCTCTGGAGACCCAGGCCTCTCTCCTGCTAAGCAAGGACTTTATCACTGAGCTAAACTTGAGGCTGATTTTTAATTTTTTGGAAGCAGTATCACATTGTTTTCCACAGAAATGATGCCACTTTCCACTCCCAGCAGCAGTGCTCATGGAGTCTGGTTTCTTCCCCTTCTCCTAAGCCTTCTCATTCCTGTTTTTGACAGCAGCTGCTCCAATGTATGTTGAATGGCAGCTCCCCGTGGTTGGTGACCCTGGGCGTGCTTTCAGATGTCAGCTTGACTGACATATCTATTTTGGAGGGCCCTGCTCTAGAAACCTGGGCTGACTATGCCCCTCTACTCCTTGGACTCTTCAAGAGTCACCGTCACCATAAGGCTTTCTTCCTAGCATTTCTCTTTTTAACACTTTACAGAATTCACTTTGTTATTTTGTTTATTGTCTGTCCTTGTTAGAACAGCAGTTCCATAGAGACAGAGATATATACTTGTTTACCCAGAATCCTCAGCTTCTAGTACAGCTTTGACAGACAGTAGTGCTCCAGGACACTGAGTACATAAGTAGAGTTCTTATTGCACTGAGTCAGAGCCAGGGCCAGACCTGAGGCCGTGGGAGCCCCGGCCACCGTCCACCGTCGGAAGAGCCTCTCCTGAGATCTTACCTGTTCCAAGAACTGGATTAAGGCTTCCCGGTTACCCAGCCACTCCCGCTGCAGCTCCTCTTGGCGGGGAAACTTGTTGCAACTCAGCTCTAGTGTGATCTCAAAGCAGTTGGTGTGGAGATAATTAAAGTCTTGCATTCCTAGGGAAAGAGGCAGTAGCAGATCCTCGTGATGAGCAGCCACCATCGCCTCATCCCAGCTTTCTCGTCCGTCAGTCACAATGACTCCACTGCATCTTCACCGCCTTCCTCTTCTACCTCTTGACATCTGCTAACTTTTATCCTACACAAAGCTGTCCCCCAGTCTCAGGTCATGTGCCTTTCTCTCTGTCCAAATGTCTTTCGTTGTTAACGCTCACATTGTCATCTGCATCCCTTATGTTTCTTTCATTTCATGACTCAGTTCCGTGTGTGTGTGTGTGTGTGTGTGTGCATAGAGGCTTGAGGAAGGTACCAGGTGTCCTGTCATTCTCTCTCTGCCTTACTCCCTTGAGACAGTGTCTTTCCCTGAACCTAGAGGAAGCTTGCACCTACAAGTACAATAACTCTCCTGTCTTCTCTGCCTAAGTCCCAAGGTGATGGGGATTTGAACCCAGCTCCTCATGCCTGTGCAGCAAGGGCACCCATGGAGCCACCTCTGCAGGTCCTGATTTCTCTTGTCCCTCTTACTCCTATCTGCCTGCTAGCTGAGTGTACCCAGGTGCTGCTTTCAGGAGAATGGTGTTTCTCTTTGAACTATGAAATTCTGCAAAGATGTCTATTCTACCAAGAGTGACCAGCCAACTCATTGTAACTTCTGATTATTTTTCACACCTTACATATACGCTTAGATTTACATATGAAGTGTGTAAGGTAGTACCATCTTGTCCTGACTCAATCTGGTGTCTTCTCAGGTGCTTCTTGGTCCTCTACCCCCAACAACCACATCTGCCTGGCAGCACAACTGGGATTTCTGTGACCCTGACCGTGGTCCTGATGTATTAGCAGTCAAAGGTAACGGTCA